GTCTCTAAATTAAATTTAGTGAAGAAACAAAACCAGAAAAGTGTGATTCTTTATAAAAATACACATTTCTGAGAAAAGTTAAAAGAGACAATGAAAAAGCGAATCTATTTTATACGTACAATTACACTGAAAGGTGATTCATTGATAGCATATATATATTAATATATAGAATATATAAATTCTCATGAAATGCTGGATAGGCTGTACCAAGAATGCCACCACAGTATTGTGCACGCAAGGACTTTCAGTGTTAAAAGTTACTGGAAACTATTATATTGAATATTTTTATTTTTTTCCCATCATAATCTCTAAGGAAAAAGGACATAAAGTTAAAACCCCTATAAAAATGAAACTGAAAAGATAAGAGAAACTGTAGTTTCTGAAGAGTGCAGTTAAAAGGGAAAATGCTTTTCATTAAAATGCTGGTTAACCTGAACACATGTTATGCTGCCACCCCTGCAAGGATGCAAGGCAGTACTCTAAATTTGGCTTTCCTATTCAGAAGAATATTTTTCCTTTTTAACATGATAACATGACTTCAGTGGAAGTCATTGTTTTGCAAAGTCACCTTTAGAAAGGATTAAAATGTTTCATTTATCATAATTTGTGTACTGTGTTCACCTGCCATTAAATATTTTGCAATACTTACTAATATGCCTATCATTTAAGTCCTCTTCAGGTATTTCTAATAGGGACTGAACAGAGGACTTGACTCTCTATCCATCACTGTCTCATGTTGACTCATGAAACGTAGGGAGGAATTACCTACAACCTTCACAAGATTGGGAGCCCAGATTTTAATCTTGTGGATTGGATGAGTTTAACCAAGGACAGTTGAATGTGGTTACTCCAGTGGTGGGATTCAGCCAGTTCACATCACTTCTGCAGAACCGGTAGCTAATTTTTTGTTGCCCAGGCCCAGAATGGACTTCCGGAAGCGGCATCCACATAGAGAACCGGTTGCTCACATATTTTAATCCCACCACTGGGTTACTCCCTCCCCAGAGACTCTGATGCTAGCTATATGAAAGAGATAATATTTAAAACAATAAATGAACACCAACAAAAATGCCAGTTCATAAAAATGGAAACATATGCTGTGCAAAACGTACTCTGGACCAATTTGGCAATTAAAACATTCAGGTGATTTAGTTTTCCCAGACACTGAATCACTTTTGAGTAATGATCATATTCTGTGGCATGAAAAAAAAAGCTTTCCATCTAAAACAAGTCATAAATCACTTTTTTCAGTGTCGTTGAATGATTGTTAAGGCTTACCTGTACAATCAACCTATGTAGAATAAAATCCCTGTGTAGGTTTTATGAATTGTCTCCCTATCTTTTAGAGCATATGGATGAGATGACTCTATCAAATATTGAGAGAAAATGGTGGGCAGAGCAATCCAGCTCTTCTGCAACCACAGCATAATCATGGCGGAACAAAAAATGCCAGAAAGCTTCCAGTTTTCTTTCCTAGGTGATCCTGATAGCAAAAATGGTAAAGAAAAGGACAAGAATGGGAAGGTGGATGTAAGGTATTTAAATGTTTTACATATTGTCTGGATATTCCTAAATTAAATCCAACACAGATTCTTCTTTTTAATGTGCACTTTAGCCCACTTCAATTTCTTTACTGAAAGCCTGTATTATATTTAGCAGGAGTGCGCTGTTTTGTGCCCTGATGGAAATATTGACTTCCTGATAAATGTGCAGTCACTCTTCCGTATAGTCAGCATTCTAATAAGTAAACAAGCAAATGAACAAACCAACAAGTACTGTACAAACAAGTGTGTACGAACATAACC